ACCAACCACAATCCTGTTCTTTAGACAGCGTTTGACCCATTCAAGGTCTCAAAGGCACAATTGAAAAGCAAAACTAGGAACTGTTGAATGGCTGACTTATCAAACATCTTGAAGCAAAACGCTTGAGGGGGTGAAATGTTTGGTTGGGAAATTTCCCAGCAAGACTGTGTAACCAACCAGTCTGGTTCCTTGCGTAATAAAGCTGCATCCTGACGGTAAACAAACAAACACTGTGTCATACATTTAAATAGAAACACAGATGAGATGTGTGGAGTTTCTAATTCCCAAGACACTGACATTAAGCATAAACCCTTCAGTGTAAAAGCAAAACAACATTAGTTAGTTTAGTTAGATGTCAAAAACACTAAGGCCTACCTTTTTGTTTGGGGTTTCAAAATCATTTTACCATCTAAATGTTGCCCAAAAAACCTACAATACGGTGTTTAGAGACGATGTGTTTATGCATTTTCAATTTATTTATTTTTTCTAGTGAATGACTGAAAATGTTCAAAGGCTTTTTAGGCAAGGTTTTAGTGTTTATAATCTCAATAATTAGTAGATGCCAACTGAATGTTTTCTTATTGTTATTCTAGAAGGAAGATCCGCGATAAGCATCACCAAAAAAGAGGAAGATGGTACTGTTTGTTTTATGACAGACATAAACAAAACCTAAAATCATTTACGTGTGATTCAAAATACTGCATTAAAATTCACGCACTATTCAGCAAAATATAACATCTCTTCTTATAAGCATATCTATTAAAATTTGTCATAATGAAAATTATTTAGAACAAACATTTTTTAAAAATTCGCTTTTATATAGTAGGCTACAATCTTAAAAAAAATAGATATCAGGTAAAGCACGTTAACGTTACTCAGGTTCATCAGAGAAGTAATATTTTGTATTTCAATCATAAAAGGGCAAGCGAGAACCCTTCATCTGACAAACAGGTCAATTACACTTCTAGGTGACTGCGTGCAAACCAAAGGTGAATGGTGCACAACAATTGGGAATACTGAATTCAATATTTTATGAGGTTATGCAAAAGCTATGTTTTTGTCATAATAGCCTATATGCAATCACACCTAATGAATGCAAACCTCGCTTACCGTTCCATACACCGTTGGCACGGGTGATCCAGCAGCATTCCGCCGAACCCGAAGCTGGTGCGCGGCTGAATCCTCCGTGACTTCTCGCTCCAGACGCACGACGCGACTTTCTGCATGTTCCAGGTGTGCACTCACTCGAGAGAAACCCCTGTCCTGTGGTAGCATGAATCTCTGGTCATGGTGAAGACGAAGCGTAGAGGAGATCACGCCAGGAACGATTAATAATAACAGATACATGGCACAGCGACTGAGCGGCAGCATCTTGCGTGTCTGCCCTGACGCCATGTTTGTGTATGACTGTGTTGTGTGTGTGTGACAGGGCGCCTCTAGCGGTCAACCACATTCACACTCATTACCATGGATACAGATTATGGCACATGATGTTTTGTTTTTGCTGGTTTACATAAACTGTAGATTGGCAAGACTGAAAAAGGAGATTGATTCGGGCGAGGACGGTTTCAAAAATAACATTTTACATTAACGTCGTCCCTAAAATAGGGGTCAAATGTGTTTGGGTGAATTATTATTTTTTATTATTAATGATAAAGGGTTCTTTTAACTGAAAAACTAAGGGAAAACATTTTATTGTATTTTTGATATTCACGAAAAGGTCACAATGCCCCAATGACAATACGTTAAGTGGTATAGCACATTATTTTCCTTAAACATTAAATATTCAACTGTTAAACCATTCTTTAAATAAGATGATGATTTTTAATATCCTACTAGGTTACATTCATAACGATCGAGATCCGTTTTGAGTTCGTTTGTGTGATGAGGTTGGCCAACTTGGCCTATTTATTTGTCCAAATCCGCCATCTGCTGGTCAGAATATGTTAAGACCATAGGGTAAAGACCTATTCACATTTTCTTTTAATTAAAAAAATATATATATTAAAATGCTGCTGCTAAGCCTCAATGACTCAGTACTTTATTTTGTTTTAGCCGAGCCTCGTCAAATACTTTTTTTTACGGTCTATGCCATGGTAAAGACATGATATATTTTTTTATAGCCTAAGCCTATAACTATCTGATTTTGCGTCTAACAATTGCATAGGTTGTAAGAGGCGTGCGCTTATTACGGGAAAGGTTAGAGTAATTTACTTTAGTAGCTTTAGCTACATCCGACCGCATCCGACGCGAGACCGGACTGTGATGACGACATAGACGTTGGAACAGGGGGGGCGGGAGGGGCGGCCGCCCCCCCTCCTACGGCCGCCCCCCTCCCCCGGCCGCCCCCTAAATTCACCTAAGCACGGGCGTCAGTTTGAAATTTGCTGGGCACAGAGACACATTCGGAAGTGCTGGGTACAAACTTGTCAAACTGTGCAGCCTTTCTATTCAACCCATAAATAAATACGTCGATCCGCCAGACTTCATTTGACCGTTTTAATGGTCTAGTGGTAGCTCTTTTGCCCAGAGTGCCAGAGGTTACGGGTTCTAATCTGCCCTAGGTACAGTTTTTTTTCTCTCTCATCAAAACAGAATATGTCCATCTGTGGTTACAGTCAATATCAAGCATAGGACACATTTATTTTGTGATTTTACCGGAATGAATAGAGTCTCCGACGTAAAGGCGATTAAAGTGCGCGTCCGAGTGAAGACTGCGCGCCACAGAGAACATAGCCTACAACTGACAGCAGCGGCAACAAGCGTTCCTCTTGATTTCAAAAACAAAACATTTTAGCGCTAGATCTCTTATTTAAACGAACTAAATTAATGCTCTGCTTAACAGGATATGTTTTATTCATGTTTAAAACGTTTTATTTTCCGATATATGGTGACTCAAGCACTGATGGATCGAGGAGCGGTCCATCAGTAGAGTCACCATATCGGAAAACATTTGGAATGGGTCAGACATAGCCCACAGTAATTCTGACTTATTATGTTTTTTAAAAGAATTTCGTTTTTATAAATTGTATTTCATTTTAATCAATCATTTTAATCAACAAGTTGACTGATAAATTCTCAGAAAATGGATTTAATACCAATATTTTGAAACGGTGCGTAATTCCGACAGCCCCCCCCCCCCCCCCCCACCGGGAATCCCGCCCCCCCTCTCACAAAATAGTTCCAACGTCCCTGGATGACGATGTGTTTTAACGGTCATCAGCATCATGCAACGTTTTTATATTTTCATTTTAATTTTTATGTATGTATATTTATAGCACTATTTTAATATATTAAATTTGTATTAAATTACAACAACAACAACAACAACAACAAAATAGTTAACGCTGCTGTGAGGTTGTCTTAATTTTTCCTATTTTTGAAAGTTGTGAAAACAAAACACTACTGACTGTGGAGTTTTTCTTTGTTCATTGAGCAAATGGGAACACAAAAAATATATATATTTAAAGTATTCTCTAATTATACAAGTTTTATGACGACATCTGCTTTGAGAAACCCACAAATGTTAAAAAGGTCAGTTGCGCGCGCGATTGCCCGTTCAAAAGCAGTGGCGGTTGGTAAATTACGTTAAGCCTATGTGAGCTGAACAGCGGCGACCGAGTTTATCGAAGGTAACTTAACTTAACGTTAATTACTTAACTTTACTTTAATTTTAGATTTCCAACAACTTGTACTCCATTATTAACTGCTCCATTTGTGTAAGTTACCGTTATGTAACAACAAACTTGTGGCGACTAAAGTCTCAAGTTACAGATGAAATGTAATTACACAGATGTTTCTCGTAAAATTGATGATGGTTAAGAAGGCTGTGATGTAACTTATTGAGATTATGAGAATATTGTATTGTATGTGAGAATATTATCGTGTTACACCCACTTTCTTCTTTGGCCATAGGACACTAATGACACACCGCGGTCTCGAGAGCACCAAAGAGGAACCTATGGCGGTCAGAGGAACAGAAATGAAAAGGTGTCAAGCAAAAATGCGCGAGGTGAGGATTTGGAGGTGATCAGGAAATTAACTGATGTAACAAAATCTACTGTCACCCATAACAGCAAGATGTTGACCTCTATTAGACGTTTTCTTGCTTTGTAAATTTCCTGATTTCTAGCATTTTACTAATGATCACAAATATTCATGAAGGTTGATAATGCACCATTTGCTGAGACATCTCCAGCAAAAATGACGAAGACACAGCATTTCAGATCAGCAACTGGAGACATGGCTTATGGTTTTGAAACAGCCTTGGCAGGTAAGTCCAGGTTTTTCTCTTTCATGCTGTCAAATAAAAAAAAAAAAAAAAACTCTTTAATATTTTACATAGTCTATGTGAGGTTGTGTAGCTTAATATATATAGTGACAGCTATTTTAGTTACCTCATGTTTTAAACACAACTGTTATATTTCACAAGGCTTCTTGTAGACATATTAAACTTGGAAGGCACCTTACTTATTTTTTGAATGTCTTTTCATTTTAGAGGCTAACAGAGAGTTCAATGATATTTTTTCGAAGTACTCTGAGGTCTTGAGGTAAGTGGATGGATTTGGTCTTCCACCCCTCACCAGCAGTGGATCTATAAAGTATATTCTCAAACATTAATTTTACATGTTATCTTCTAAGGGAAAGAGCTGCTGTGGATGCCTCTCAGCTTGGAGAACTGGAAGATATACTGACTGAAGCCAGGAGTTTGGAATCTCATCTCAAAGAGAAGAAGGAACACCTGAGACGATCTTTGGCTTTGATATCTGATAAACTACAAGGATAGGTTTCGATCTTTGATGTTAACTGATTTATATATTGCATTTAATATGCTCTACAAGCATCAATCCATAATACATTGATTATACATGTTCATATTTTACTTTAATGATTAATACTTATACATTATAAAATTATAAAAATACTTTAGGAGTTATGCTGAAATAAAGCTTATATGTGGTGACAATTCTAAAAAACATTTGTAGATTTGTTTGAATAAATTCTTATAGCAGACACTATTATGCAGGGACGGATATTTCATTTTATATCCAAAGGAGGAAACAATATAAGTAAAAAAAATGAGAGTATGTTAATAAGAGATGGCATGATCATCAACCAAAACATTTGGGCTTTTGAAAAGTGTCTTTTAGTGTCCATGTTGGAAAGTCCCATGGAATCCATATGGAATGTTGATGGGTACTTCAGCGCGGCCCAATTCTTCGAATGTTTTTCCATCCAGCACTAGAAGGAAGGTACTCTTGTCCTGGAGGGACAATTACTCATTAGTCCAGAAATACATTTTCTCAATTTTTTTTGAAAAGATAACAAGACATTTTTTGATACCACTGGAACATGGCGTGTTATACCTGATTAGGGGTGATGACCACAGAGAGAATGACTCCATCATCCTCTTCTACAGCACCAGGTGAAGGGACAAAGATTGGTTCTGAGGGATACATGTCTGCGTGTTTCCACACCTGTCATAGCATAAGTTGAAATATAAAGACTAAACATTAAAAGTCCCTGACAATATCTGCGTACATAAACCTACTAATCCTAACTAACCGTTATTTTTTTGCCTTGAAGATCCATTTTAATAAGGGAGTCCCCAACCAGGTGTCTGAAGCCACATCCGTAGAAATAACGGTAGGGGTGGGAATTGCACATTGAATAGTTGATGTGTGGGAATTCCAGACCTCCAAATTCATGGAGATCATCACCATGGAGATCTTCATGTGTGCAAAACACCTGCATAAATAGACATGGAAAGTTGTTTACAATACATGATAGAGAAAAAAAACCTTCATGTTTCTTTGGATAGCATGCAGATAAATTAGAAAAAGAAAAAAAATACGTTAACACGTAAACCAACCTTGTTCTTGTCTGTCTTGATGGCTGTTGCGGTGCTATTTGAGCGCGTGTTGAGATTTTCCCCACAGGGTTTGTCACTGTCCAAGTTCAATGGCAGGACAAAGCGGCGAGGGAACACTCTACTCATCGTGTTGTATATCTAGCAAAAAAACAAGTAGTTATGTTGAAGAACAAGGGTGCATTTACACATAGATAGAATGTACTTGTTGAAGTAAAGTTTTACCTCATCTAGAGCATTCCCAGATTTTTTTAGATTCTGAATCTTGTAGTTGTTAATTGCTTGGCCATCATCAGAACAGCACATGTCCATGATCAGGAAACCATTTTCTTCATAACAGTTAATCTGATGGAATGTTGAGAGTGGCTTTGCGTAGTATTTGACGAGGCTCGGCTAAAACAAAATAAAGTACTGAGTCATTCAGGCTTCGCAGCAGCATTTTAAAATGAGTTATATATATTTTTTAATTAAAAGAAAATGTGAACATGCTTTGAATTTAGTAGTAGCATTTACCTTTCCTGTGTGCTTATTGATCACATGGAAAACTGTGTTTCGTTTGGGGTCCCAGTATACACCTTCACTAATCCCCTTTCCACGCAGTTTGCTTGTCACAATCTTCAAGAGATCCATTTTGATTGGCTGCTCGATGAATACCACAAAGTTCTCTGACATGGCTGCAATAAAATCATTTAAAATTTCAACCGAAATATGTAAAAAGTTACTTGTTTTTGAAATAGTATACTCACAATTATATATTTATACACAACAACAATGTAAAGGTCTGAGGACACTAAGATTTGATTTAGACAGAAATTTTGGAAAAATGTATATATAAATAATTTTTATTCAGTACAGACGCATTAAATTAAGTCACAGTAAATACATTTTTAATGTTACAAAAGATTTCTATTTAAAAAAAAATGAATAGTCATTAAAGAAAATCTGCATAAAAAATATGCATCACTGTTCCACAAAAATATGAAGCAGCACAATATTAATAATGAAATGTTTCTTGAGCACTAAAACATATTAAAATGTTTGTGATTGAAAACTGGCATAATAGCTGTGTAAAATTACATTTTAAAATGTATTAAAAAACATCTTAAATTGTATTTCACACTATTGTTTTAATGCCTTTTACATTGAACATAAGGTACATTTTGTACTATATATATATATATATATATATATATATATACACAAACACACTATAAGTTTCTATTTACTTATTTATTAGCAAATATGTTTGTAAATAAAAAATTGCCAATAAGAGATTGTAGGCAATGCTCTCTTACCAAAGCTGTGATAGTATGATGGTTTGGACTTGTCCTCTGAGGGGATTGAGCACACAACTGTGGCTCCTTCCAAGGTGTCATTTTGTTTCTCCTTCTTTGACGGCACCATTATTATATTATAAAAGGCACCTAAGAGTAAAATTGAAGAGGAATAAGATTGAAGATCAATATGTGTGTTTTTTTTTAAGTTACATTTCTGACTAACCTTTTGGAGTGTAAGAATTGCCCATGTTGTATGTAGTTCCGTCAGGATCCACATGGGGGTGAGCTGTGGCCCCATTAATCGCAATGAATTTACTCCAGTCCACCTAAGCACAATGATTTCCACATTTCAGCTTGTTTGTTCTCCATACAAACATATTTTATACATTTTTTAAAAATCATAATTAGTATGTACTTTTTCTTTTGTTTCAAGTGTCTCTGGGTCTATTTTGTGCATGAAGTTGGTCTCTGTGCTGACATAGTAGTCGCCTTTATACTGAACAAAGCTTACATTTGCGTTGTCAGTTGGCTCTGTGGGAAGAGAGAAGTGACAAGTTCACATATAGGCAAAGTATAATTCAGACCAATTCAATCAGAACCAAAGACATCGCACTCACTCGGCAGCTCAAAGCGTGAGAGGAAGCGTTGGAAGAAGTTCTTGCATGGATCTGGCATTGCAACCGTGCCAAATTCAGACATTATAATGCGGTTATGCTCAAGGTTCGCAGTGTAGCAATCACTGTTGAGGAAGCGGCTCATGTATGTCACATTTCCATTCTCGATGTGGAATTGGTGCAGAAGCGCCATCCCATCAAACCAGTGGTTGAAACTGAGGAGCAAAAACAGCTCATTTACTTTCCTGTGATGATTGCTGTGATCCGTTTAGTTCTCAAGGACCCCAAATGATACTCACCTGCTTCTTCCGATCTCAAACTTTCCAGGTCCATTCCTGAGGAAATTGCCTTTGATCCAGGAGGGAATGTTACCTGCAATTGTGGTTGTGATGGGCTCTGGGCTTTCATCTACAGAACAAACCAGATTCTCAATGCACGGCAGACCATGAACATCGGTGAAGTGTTGATCTTTATTCTTTGACCTGGTCTTCTTCGAGCCTGTTGGGAAAAGAAGAATATCAGATATGAAGTTTTGCGCACTACGTACTTCAGATTAGAACGGAATCTTGACCTACCAGTGCTACTGTTGAGACGGTTCATAGAAGACATGCTGGTCTGCTTGCTGAGTTGAAGATGTTTTGAGAGCTGTCTTTGAGTGACTCCCTTGTCTTCCTCTGCTGCCTGGACTTATAAAGAGATCTTTTAGGGTCACATGGTGCTTATGCAATACCAAATCACAGACCGTGCCAGTTGAAGGTGTGTTACAGTTACATTGATGCATGGTGCTTGGATTTAGCTCAAGACAAAGATCTAAGACAAACCATGTGCAAATTCATAAGTCAACACCATTGCTGAGTATTTTCTCTTTAAAACTGCAGTGATCAAGTCACAAACTATACCTTGAAACCAAACATGTCAATGTGTCGGCGGGCTTTAGCATGTCATTAACTATGACTACTCTGATGCAGGGGAGTCTTAAGAGAAGCCAGGTTATCTCTGTATATTTTCTGTTGAAAAATCGGGTATACATTTATAGCAGGTGTATGATGTCTATATTACAATGTTATGATGAACTATATGCCTTTCTTCTCTGACGTTCTATGTTGTTCAAAACATTTCTGATGATTGTTAAATAATCATTGTTTAAATATGTCATTTTGGTGATCAAAGATCACAATTATTGTAAAGGGATACAATTATTGACTACATGGGACTTTTATAAACAATGTATATATATTTTGAAAATAGACTCCAATAATTTTAAAAGCAGATTAGTATTCTATACAGAGCTACACAAATTTGTAGAGTACATTTTATTAGCAACACTAATCTTATAAGCATCCTATGAAATCAATTTAATCGGTCTGGGAAATTCCCAAGTCAGCAGCAAATGATGTAGCTATCTCCTCACTATAACCTCAAACTTAGGACACTGAAATATTTCTGTTATGCAAGAAAATCAATTGACCGTACCATAAAATCTAATACTGTGAACCACTGATGTCCATTGAAATTGGAGAAATGATGAGGACAAAGAACATTTTAGCTCATTTTGGCATTGCATATTTTGGCTCTTGACTTAAGTAAAAAAAAAAAAAAGAGGCAACAGACTCAACTTATAAAGTGATAAGAAACTTTAAGGCAATATTTTGAGCATTAATGCAAAGGAAAACCATCAAAAGAAATCTGTTAAAAGCAAAGACCCTAAGGTAAATTACCATGAAAGGGTTTAGGTCAGGTCAACTCTTCATCTTTCATGAATAGATTGTTAGATTGAATAGGCAGTGCTGTAAAAAAGTTTTAAACATTAGTTCATGTCCCATTTTAGATTAACCAAAGATACAGTCCATTAAAATAGATTTGCATGGGGTGGAAATACATAACTCAAACAAAGAAGGTTAAATAAGTTTATGGGAATAGCACAAATCCTTTAAAAAATATCTGGATTAAATTTCATTGGATTAAAAAATAATTGAAAGTTTCTGTACAATTAAGCACATTTCCTCCAGTTAATGTAATTTGTGAAAAATGTGATGAATGCAAAAAAAATGGTTCAATACTTTTTTTATGCAGAATATAACCTCTTATTTTTTTCTCTTCTGAGTTTGTGAAACCCTTTATTCGAACACACTGAGTTGAATACAAATGATCAAGTGCAACAAAAGTCTTGGGAATTTTTAATAATAGAAATGTGATGTTTTAACTAAAATTAAAAGATGGTTCTTCTATTATGGCAACAATATGATCTAATTAATATATCACATTAATATTTATTCAGCTTTTGGTTAGATTTTTGAACTCTGACCTTGCTATCTGGAAATCTGCTTCAAAAACACTGCATAATTTTTTCATCGTTAGGCCGTGTGTCCACCAAAGCGTTTTTAGCCAGCTGAAAAAAACGCTCAGCGCCTCGGCGCTCCCATTGAAAACATACGGCAGGCGCGTGGAAAAACGCTTTGGTGGACAAAACTTAGTGTCACCAAACTGACGCCTTGGGAAGCATTTGACCATGCTTCAATATCTGACTTTAGGCGCCCTTTAGCGTCAGTTAGATGACGCCCTAGGATCGGGTGTAACCCTACCCCCACCCCACAGCTAAACCTACCCGCGTCATCTAGCGTCAGTTAGATGACGCCGTAGGATTGTTTTAGAAAGCCTCTAACTTTTATACACACAGATGGGGCGGCGATGGCGCACATGCCATTGGTGTGAGAGACCCGGGTTTGAATCCACTGTGAGACACCAACGTGTCCCTGAGCAAGACACTTAACCCCTAGTTGCTCCAGAGGCATGCAACCTCTGACGTATATATTGTAAGTCGCTTTGGAAAAAAGCACCTTTGGACTCTAACAGTCATAAGTCATGCTTTAATGTGATTGTTTAAGTTGTCTATGATATTGAGAGGTATTTAAAGGAATGGGTATTCCTCCTGACAAGTCCAGATATGCTAGAACTAGTATAACAGTGTGAAAAATGTATTGACCTTCATAACAAAAGCATGTCTTTAATTCTGTCTGGGAATTTCCAGGACAGTTAACAAAAATAAAATATGAGTGCAGAGAGCTGGCATAAAATATATCTCTCCCTAAAGACACATCCATGGCTATTAAAGACTGTTTGGCGTGCCAGCGACTGTCTCTTTTTCTTTTACATGCATGTAGCCTATTTAAAACGCATTTTAAGACGCGGCTTAAATTACCTCATAGAGACAACAATAAACATTCAGATTTTACTTTCATCTTCAGAAAGATCTTTCTTCCTCCATTTTGAATCGAGAATCGTGGCTTAGGTTTTCCAGGTAAACAACCCTATCTGAGATTGATACCAGTAATCTATAAAAATGAGAAATCAATCAAACACTTTTTTTGAAAAAATGTTAAGTATACTAAAATCTAACTGATATGTCACTTGCATAATTTAGAACAGTTTATGTACATATAGTCATGGATCGTTTTACTTAACTGTCCTTACTGTATCTTATCAGTATCTGAAATGTAAAAACAGTTGCACTGAAACGGTCTTCTGTACCTTGAACCGTTTGGTTCCCATTGAAGTCCATTACATGAAGAAAAATCCTGGAATGTTTTAATCAAAACCTTAATTTCTTTTCGACTGGAGAAAGAATGACATGGATATCTTGGATGACATGGGGGTGAGTAAATTATCAGCAAATTTTTTTTAAAAAGTGAACTACTCCTTTAAGATAGTGCCAGACTAAAATGCATGTTTGAACTGTCTTAACAGAAAGCAACTTGCACTGACATCTTAAAATATACCAGTGCCATTGTCTCAAGATGCACACCAATAATGTTTTTTTTAATAAGGCACATTTATAAAAATCTACTTAAATACCTTAATTGAACTAAGGCCTAATCCTGGCTTAATCTAAACCCTGTCTGTGAAACCAGGCCATAAACTATGTGCCTGCACAACTGGAGAATAACTTATTCCTTTTAATCTTGCCATAGTACTTTGGAAAATCCTGTTGGCTCAATAATAAACCAAATAATGCAAAAACTTCCTTTATAATTGTATTATTTAGGATAATGCAGAAATCACCCGGAGCTTAAATCTGGATAAATATCATACAGATTACACAAATCTCCATAGCACTTTAACCAGACTCAAAGGTTTAAGACGTCTACTAAAACATGATAACAGGATTTACAAAATCTCTGTCCGAAATATATTCTCATCAAAATCCGTCAGAAAAAAAAATCCAAAACTCACTTCAGTTTGATTATCCACACAAGTTCGCTTTACTGTTATCAGTATCACAAGCCTGTTTTAAACACATCTAAGCCATTAAAAATGAAAGACGCAATTAAAATAAATGTAAATGCAGAGCATTCAATTACAAATTGCTTTTCATAAATTATTTCTCAGGACAGAAGACATACAGCCATGCAAAATGTAAAGTTAATATGATAACTCCCCCAGATGTTGTGGTCATTAATGGACGACTCAAATATGATGGTAAATACCATGCTTATAATATGTCAGTGTCTCTAAAACAGAAATATTGGTGTATAACATCAGTTTAATATCTGTGCACCACAGTACAACATAATCTGCTCATGATCCAACTTACAAATCACTTCCTGTATACACATTAAAGATAAAGTCAGGTTAATTCTGCATGTCACACTGACATAAACAGCATAGATGTTACATTTTGACACATCGGACACTGGCTGTCAAAAAGGCATTTTTGGAGAAATATGTCGAAAACATGAAAATAAATTAAAACGTGTTTGAACTTTAATATTACCGTAGTGATTTTTCAAGTTCAAATACAGCAACCGTCTAATAGCCAGAACAATTAGTTGATTTTGCTGCATCAGAAACACTGATTTGCCAGACAAGAGAGTGGATGACATGCAGAGTATTTCATCTTAAGCAAAAGCTGAGCATGTTCTGAATAAACTGACAGCATTTACAAATAAAAAAAAAACACCTGCAAATCAACACCAAGTGTTGTCAAATTATATATTCATAGAATTTACATGTCACAACTGTATACAATAAACTTGAACTCTAATGATGAAAGTCCAATCATTTACTCCACAAGAGGGCCACAGCTTTACAAATCCCCACATCATGGTAGTTGAAGTAGCACAGGCCGGCGAAGGTGACGGTAGACAGAACAAAGAGGCCTGCATTAGCCATCTTGATTTTAAAGTCTCCATGAACGTAGTCTGTCAAAACTTGGCCAAGACCCCTGAGGAAAACACAGTTATCTGCAAAGCTGTCCTTTTCATACAATGGCACTTATTATGTGTACTAGTGTTAATGATTAATCAGCAATATTTTTTCCCCTCAATGTAATTAATTGAGCTTTTAGATTTTTGACTGATGTTTCAGCTCAAGTACAAATGCAAAAGAAATCATCGAAGACATGTAAACTTAGTTCATAAGAAGCCAAACCTATGAGAGGGTTGTTCCATAAAAGACAACACCTGACTTGAACCTAACAACTAAGTTGGGGCTAAAACGGTTTAATAAAAGGTAATTGAAGTTCACGCAATCCCACTAATTTGATCCAGGTTTATCTAGTCTAGATAATTGAGTGTGCACGCGTTTCTGAAGCAGCCCTAGAGTTTAATGCATTTGACACGGTTTTTTTTTCTCAGTGCAAAATTTACATTTCACAGGTATATTCTCTTCTGTAAATGTTAGAAAGTCGTGCAAAAATTTACTTTTTTTTCCTGCAAACTTCACATTGAACAAGCACTGCTGTGTGTCAAATAGGAGCGCAATAAATCTTAAGACTAAAATATACATTTTGCTTGGAAAATTAATATGCAATATTTTCTAACACCAGAAATATCTTTTAATTATAATAATTTATCTTTAGGATATTGAATAATGGCAGTGAACTTATTTTAAACTCGAAATAAAATTAAAATTGAACAGAAGTAACATTAACTTTTACATTTCAAAGTTTGGTTAAAATAGAGGTGCTCTTTGGATGGGAAACTGTATATGACGAAAAAGCAAGAGAACTCCAAGGCACTCTCAAGTGGAAAAGTTAAAAAGCCTTTATTATTATGGCTTGGTCAAATTAACCATCTAAAAAACTCCAACGCGTTTCGGCTACATGCCTTCTTCTGGGAGTTAAACAGATCTCAAACCAACAGAGTTTTTTTATAAACCAACAGTCCACTAATCAGAAATCTCCATCTGTCAACAGAGGTACTCAGGTAACAGTACACAAATGGGACAGAAGATGTCATCGTTTCCACTACTTAACTAATTAATTAAGTACAACCCAACAAGGAAAAAAAAAATTGGTAGAGGTATTTGTACACCATAGAGAACATATTTATGAATAAAAATTGATTTTAGATCATAAAATACCTAAAAAGTACACATTGTCCCTGTAAATAATATTACTTGAATAGCTTATTAGGAATTATGTGTCATTATAAGAGCTTGATATAGATATGTGAAGGTTTAATTTTTATTAATATTTATTTCTATATATTTTTTGTGATTTTATATTTTTTGTGATTAGTGTTTTTGGGTGGATTGCAGTTTCCTAATGTTCTTCTAATACCCATACAAATGTACTAAAGCTGCCAAACAAAACCAGAGAGAAATGTATTCATAAATCTTTAAAACAATCTAATTAAATGTTGGGTACAAAACATTCAGCCAGTAAGAAAAGAAAACCTGTAGAATATATATTTTCTTTCTTTCTTTCTTTCTTTCTCAATTCTGAATGGCATGTAACTTGGTCAAAGTTCACTTGTGCATTCGTTTTTTGCACTTTTGCACAAATTATTGAAATATGGCATCCTTAGATGGGCTAAAGCATGACAATACAATGATGCTTAATAAAGTTACAGGTGGGTGACATATGAGTAGCCTGATGCATAAAATTAAAAACTTTCAAAAATTCTGTAAGACTACTCAAACATGCTTAAAAGCCAAGCAGTTATAGCTAGTGCTTTACCACATTTACAACTGAATGTAATACATTTTAAAAAGAATGTGTATGTGTACATCAGTGACCCCAGCAATGTAACTAACAGCTTAGCTAAACTTAGAAGTGTGGCTTTGAGTGCTCATGTTCTCATGGCGGTTAAATCCTTGCATGAAGGGTATTACAGCCACCCATAACTTGGCTTTGCAGACACCTTCATTTTGTGTCAGAAACAATTTTATGGAATAATGCAACAGTGTCAAGGTTAATGTGAAACCTCATATGAATATACACCAGGCAGGCACTCCTGAATATTTACAACTTACTGTGACAAAATCTACAGATAATTGATCAGTCTTTTTCCCCAACAGTTTCCATTTAAAAAAAAAAAAAAAAGAGATAATAATAGCAAAAAATAAATTCAGTTACCAGTGACCATGTAGAGTAAGGGCAGCTGCTAGAGAGTAGTCAACAGCAGGGCCGGGAAAATAATACGCAGCGGGTGCCATGCCCAGAAGAACTATGCTCAGGATCCGCTCTCCGGTCCAGTGCAAGGAAGCAGCTTTGGACCCAGAGCTCGCTTAAAAAAAAACACAGTAACATGTCAACACCTGCTTCTTCAACAACACATATTCATTCATTATCACTCATTATCTCACATATTCATTAGCCATCACATTTATTGCATGCATTTAATCATCATGTACCCCAAAAGATGGAAAAAAATGTTTATTATGTTTAGTCTATAGCTCTGAATTACCAATGTTTTTATTCTCAACCATTCGTCTTTACCAGTGATTATATTATTTGGCGATTCTGACACAAATGACAGAAATGTCCATCAATGGAAGGGAAAGAGATTAAAACACTTGTATTCAGATGAAATAAAAAGGCTCTAGTCCAGTCTGACAGTACCATCAACAATATATTAAGCTAATAAAATGAAAGGAAACGACAAATAACATCTGCCTTGATTTACATTGCTACAAAAGCAAAAATCGGATATAAATCACTAACCATAGTTGGAAGGGGTAGCATGTATCTTTGCGGATAACAAGTATGGACAATCATGATCCTTCTTCTGTATGGCCAAAGGTCTGATGAGGGAAGAAGAGCGAAATAACAGGGCTGTGGAAAGAGACAAGCATAAAAAAGAAGAAATACATGAAAACATACGTAATTAAAAGGAAAAATGTATTCATAATCAAACCTTTTAAGCAATGCATGTACGAATTTGATGTTAATCTGTAAAGGCAATTCATTTAAAAACATCCCACATAAATGGATAAATTATGAGAATGACTTTTATGTACAGCCTTGAGCCTTGTGTAAGTTACAGCTTGTGTAAGTTAACTAATAAAAATAGATACAGGGACATGACGTACATTGAAAGTATTATACGCTAATAAAATCCTGTCATACTGTCTTGCTGTGTTCGTTTTTACGAACTACTTTGCATAAATATGATCATAACTGATCAGTTTAGAAAAAGAGAAGAGGCACCAAGCTGAAAAATCTGACACAAGTTAGCATGCTAAGGTTAGCCATAAACTACGAGTACGCGTGCTGCGACAAATATGAAACGTCAATGAAGCAATGACTTATTTTATAGTAGACATCAACGCGAACCTATTGTGATATGGCCTGAGGCGACAATAATAACATGAAAAACACAAACTTACGGTTGACACCTCTGTGGCAAACAGAACTTAACCTGACAAGAGCCGCCATTATTCTCACAACCAATCCAAGGTCACTGGAATCACCCGGATATACTAACAGTGACCGTTGTGATGAAATGAACCTTTTCACGCATGAGCTAATAAAGCTAAATAGACTGAATGTATGTAAAACTGACTGTCTATGTGTACAACAGAACAATACAATTTAATTAAAATCTTAGATATATCATTCAAGTATACATGTGTAAATGTGTTTAAATTTCCAAATTTTGTCGAGTAACTTGATCTAGTTGGTGGATTTGATATATTTTTAGGACATATTAACAAAATTACCACATGTTAGCATTAGTTAGGGATGTCATTTAAGCCTCTTATCTGATGCAAAAAAATATATACATTTAGGTAAAATGAATAAATTAAGTTTACCAAAATAGTAAAACAGATGAACAGAGATGGATTATTACTCATCATCACGATGCCTCCTTCTTAGTGCATATAGTGCAAATGTGCATATGAATAAAAGACAACTTTTGTTTTGTTAGTATACAGTATTTTATTAATCTATATAACACATTTTAATAAATACAGGGACATGACAGATACTCTAAAATTAAGGGACATGACAAATAATTGAAAATTTACATTTATTAATGTATTCACCCAACTTTTAAAATTATGTTATTGTATTTTATTATTAAAATTAGGAATATATATATATAATAAAATATTAAAATAATCGTACAAATAGATTGCCAGAAAAATCAATAAGGAAATAATATTCCAGCAAAAAATAAATAAAAAAAAACACATTATGAATAAATGGAATGTTTTGATTTTGTGTTGTTTAGGTGCATTTGCATTATTACATTATATGTTGACAGTTTGTAAGATTAACTATTATTTTGAATCATATTGCATTGTATTGAGTGTCATGATTTCCGCATTTTGTTAAAATAATCACCTGTATATTTACATAAAAACCCATTAAAATCCATTAAAAATCAAATCCCACAACTCAATTTACTCATTTACTCCAAAAAAAGAGTCATTTGGATTTTTTTTTATATATAACTGACCTTTTGCTAATGGTTTCATGGCAGTGGAAAGAACAAATCTGAGTTTAAAGTCATTTTTGAAGTAAAGACAGAGAACAAAATGGTTCAAATTGAAATTAGGCAACTTTAGTTTTAAAAAGTCTTCAATCTATCATTAAACATACCATCATTTTTCGTTTCCTACTTTACATCATTATTTATTTTATCTGATGCTCGCAGAGCAGATTTCATGGCAGTCTCGATCCAGCCATGAGGTCTGGCCGTGTGCTCTCCCGCAAAGTGAATCCTTCCCTCATTCTGGACTATAGACACATTATAGTCTCTCATTTGAAAAGGAGTGAAGATAGCAAAGGCACCATGGCTGTAAGGATCTAGTCCCCACTTTTTCACAAAACCGCCGGTGCAGAGTTGGCGGATGTGTTCTCCATGGATCTTTACCAGGTCATTTAAGACCAGAGCCTTCAACTCCTCATCGTCTAAAGTCTGTAGGAGCGCAGCATCATCCGAGGAGGTGTAAGAAGCTAACACAGCCCCGCCTGATATCCCGGGGAACTCATGACTGGGGTAGTGGATGAACCGGGATGGCAGATCTGTGATGCTTTTCCCACCCTTGATGCCGTCATCAATCTCCCAGAACTTTTTGCTGAAACTTAGCACTACTTTTGTGGAGCTGGAATAGTGCACCGACCGCAGCGCTTCCATCTTTTCAGCAGACAGAGGCGGGTTGAAGTCAATAAGGAGTGTTGCTTTGGCTGTGGCCGTCACCAAGACATAATCGGCAGTAATGTTGGTCATGGCGCCGCGATTACGCCAGTCTTGGTATGAAACTGTCACGTTGTCCTGCGTTCGGCTGATGGCCTGGACTTTTGAGTGCAGAAGGACTGTGGCATTTAGCACTGAGTAGAACGCTTCTGAGAATGTTTCAAAGCCACCTGTAAATTCAAAATACCTGAAAAAGAGCATCTTTTTTTAACTGATATACACTACAGTTCAAAAGTTTGGGGTCGGTAAGATTTGTTTTGGAAAGAAATGAATATGATTATTGAGCAAGGATGCATTAAATGGATCAAAAGTAAAGACGCTCCAACGCGTTCTCATCCCAAAGCGCCATATAGGACGCTTTTGCAAAAGCGTAAATATCCAACGCACATGGCACCCTTTAACGTCTAATGAGACGCTTCGGTTAATGGTTAAGTTTAGGTATGGTGTAGGGTAAGGGTTAGACCACTAGGGGGCGCCTTCTGCCCAAATATATCTGCGTCTCATTTCACGTTAAAGGGTGCCATGTGCGTTGGATATTTACGCTTTTGCAAAAGCGTCCTATATGGCGCTTTGGGTACATGCACGCTGTCCTTTTGAGGGGATTTATTTATCAAAAAATCCTAAAAAAATCATGGTTTCCACGGAAAATATTAAGCAGCATATCTGTTATCAACATTGATCATAATAATTAAAAAAGTGAGCACCAAATCAGCATATTTTTGAAGGATCATATGATGAGTAATAATGCTGAAAATTCAGCTTTACCATCATGGGAATAAATGACATTTTAAAATACATTACAATAGAAAACAGCTAATATTTCACAATAATACAGTTTTTACTGTATTCGTAGGTAACTCTTTATTGTGATGCTCACCCAACAGGCATTCTACTAAGAGTTATAAGAGTATAATACGAGTTAGTAGAATTTGTGTATTAATTTGTGTATACAATATTGTATTAATTCCTTAATAACATATTTTGTAAATTAATGTGTTAATTACCAAAATTAGTCAAACCTATGCACTTCAACTTCCAGTTGTCTGCTTTAATCAATCATTTGCAAAGGTATCATTGTGTAATGACTTTACTTGTTGTGGCACATCATTATTAACTAGTCATTTAGTAATTGACTTTATGCACAGCTGCACTACTTCCTGAACTTAAGCCAGCTCCTTGTTTCTGTCTGCTATTATCGGCCAAACTTGATTATTTCAGGTGTGTCTGGTTATTGTTGCCATGACTATTGAGGTCAGGCACACCTGAATCAATCAATTTGACCAATAATGGCAGACAACAAGGAGCTGGCTTAAGTTCAGGAAGTAGTACAGCTGTGCATAAGTCCAATTGCAGTAATTTGCACATGAATTTGCTCCAACAATGAAGGAATTTATGCATATTAGTGTACCTGTATTATCTGGAAGTTGAAATACAAGGCTTTGGCTCAGTCTGGTAATTAACATTAACATAATTAACATAATTAACACTATTTCATTAAACAATTAGTTATTAGGGAATTAATCCACAATTACATATTTAATTAATAACAATTTATGTATGACCTAATACATTACCCTACAGACTCTAAATTAGTTCCTAATGTGGTAATCCTTAATGAATGGCTTAGATAATCATTAGTTACACTTTAATTCAGTATTATCTGTGCATTAGTTAAGCATGAATTAATGCTTATTTTGTAAAGTGTTACCAATAAATGCAGCCTTGGTGATAATATCTTACGTTTCATCGTCTTTTACATCAGACTGGATGTAGAGCATTTCAGTGAGGGCTGTGTAGAAAAAACTGTTCTCATTCAGGACATCACCAATCATCCGCAAAGCTCCTCTACTCAAATTTCCCACATTCACCAAGTACTCCTGTGGCCGATCAGATTTAGAGACATTCAGACATTATTACTTATATCTGGATTTTAAAGAATTTCAAATGCAGAATTGTAATGCAGAGTACAGACATGTTACCTTGACTGAGTATGAATCATATGTGTTCAACATTTTCTCACAGCCCATTTTTTGCAGATCATCTCTTAACTGATAAAGAAGGAAATATAAAATAAACGAGTAAAGCATAAAGGGGGAAAAAATGTAATAAATACCATTATTCTGACTCTGAACAAATATATGTGTTTTTGAAAAAATAAAATAGAAAGTTTTTCTTCTCTCACCTTGCCCAATGCCATGTTGAACAGTTGACTGGCATTTTTCCCCCTTTCCCAGTCGTATACGGGGTAGTTCAGTACATCTGGGTTCTGTCTCACGGTGTAGGTTTTATAACGAAATCCGTTTATATAATAGTAAGTGTTTCCGTCTTCCTGCTCAAAATTTCCAAACTTCAGACCAAGCTTGGTTGCGAAATTCAAGAGAATCCTTAAAAGTAAAGTGATATCAATAAAACAAGTTGATCAACAACGTCTTGTGGCCTGCAGCTGCATCTTCTGACCAGCAAGCAAGGGTCATTGTCACTCAGCGTCAGTTTTTGATGACCTCAGTTTCAATCTTTGCACTTTTATCTTTACTCTCATGTGGCTGTGATACAGTTTCACACACTAATGACGGTACTTTCCACCCTAACCTCACATGAGGTGAATAAGAAAAATTAGAAAATTAATTAGAGATTGAAAATATCTTAACTTACTTGTGGAAACTTGGGATCCTCATGGGACCGAGTTCTGCAAACCAGCCCTCTCTTTTGTCCCTATGTGTTACAATTCGTCCACCAATACGGCCACTTGCCTCAATAATTGTCACCTATAAGAGCACAGAAAAAATATCATGCATAAGCAAGAAACAAATAGAAAATACCTGAATAGAAGGCTATGATATTTGGCATATTATGACTTATATTAAATAGAAATGGGATTCTACAACAAAAATGTTCTTGAATAAAATGAAATAATTTAGTGCTTTAGAGAAATCAAGTGCACATTTCGTCTGCTTTTGATTACTTCCTGTTTTTTGGGTTTTTTTTCACACAAGTCACAAAAATTACTTGCTCCCTCAGCATTTTGAGCAATGCCATGCCATGAGATTGGAATCGTCATCTTTGAACTAGCAGTTTGCTCACATAAATCATGGAAGTGGTTAGAACAAGGATCGAGACCAGAAGGGATGTGTCTACTCGCACATAAAGGGTTAAGGCCGGCAATTTAAAAAGATACCAGTTTTATTCCTGTCATTTAGCACGAAATGTTAAAATGTATATTGATCTGCTTTAACATATCCAATTATTTCTGCTTTAACATATCCAATTATTAATTATCTATCAAATGA